CTGCCCACAGTGGCTATCCAAAGTCCCAGCCCCACCATGTGCCCTCCCACACAGCCAGTTTTCAGCGTCTCAGCACGAGCCTCCCACAGTCATGAGCACCCAGGCCCCTGTCAATTCTCCCAGCCAGACTAGGCATCTCCTCTCGGCTGGCTGCTGGCTGCGTGGACATGAGCTGGCACAGCTGTTACATATGTGCAAAATGGTGCTTGCCCTCTCTCCACCGGTTACAGGACACCAGTGCCAGGGGGTTGGGCAGAGAGACACATGCCCTCCCTTTTTTCTTCCCTCTAGGTTGGCAGGTACACTCCCTCACAGGGCTCCAAGCCAGACTCAGGCCAGGTTGGTCCTGCAGCTTTAAGGCCAGTGGCTTGGGCTGCTGCAGTGTCATCTCCTCACTCTCCAAAACTGGTGCTGAGGCTTTTGGCAGCTGAGTTGTGTGCATCCACACCCTCCACACAGGTCCACAGTGTCCTTCTAATTGGCATGGAGCTTCCTCTGGGGTCTTCTCCCTAACTCTTCCCTGAGAGTACACTCTCCACTTTTTTAAAACTATCTTCCCCTAGACTAGAGCAGTAAGCTCTCTCCCTTTTCCACCACCTCATGACAGTCTGGTCAGTGGTTTTCAAAATCTTGTATTTTCAAAATCAGTGCAGGAACCTGATTTTTCCTGACTGGCTGTGAAGAAATGAAAGCATTTATGATAAGGCAACCAAGGCTCAAGTCATAGCCACAAGTTAAAGGAAACCCCAAAAGGCATTTACATGGGGCTAAGTCTACATAGAAGACAAACACACACACACACACACACACACACACACACACACACGGGAACTCCACTGCGATCATTTCAGAGGTGGAAAAATGCTCTTCTAAGTGCTGAGCTCTAAGGTCAGCTGGGAGGGCTTCACTGTGCGACACTCCCCGTGCCTGAGCCAGTTTCACAACCGCCCCATTTCCAATGGAGTAGCTACCTTTTTATTGGTTTCTGTTAATTGCCTTACGAACAGAAGACATAATCTGTTCTTTCAAAGGCTTGCTACGTTAGAGTTGAACGGAGCCAGTTCTGATTAATGTTCCGAGAACACTGAGACCAACTGCACCCAGCAGTTCTGGATCCACTGCTTCAGATGTGCTCACAGCGTCACGTGGTGAAATGTGTTCTTCACAACTCATAAATCATACTGAGTGGGATTTGTACATTTCTCCACGCATTCCCATCGACTTCTGCTCCAAATACACTGAGGCTACTATTCTGCATGCAGGGATTTATTTAGCTAATGTGAACTGTCCGTCTAGCAGTTTTTGCCTTCAGGTTTTCTTGACATACAGAAAATACAGCTACATATTAGCTTCTGGTTAAAATCTGCATATACCTTTTCCTATCTTCTTTTACCTTTGTGTGGAAAGATGGGAGTTATAAGACTGCTCTCAGCATTTCAGGCATGGAAAGCCAAGACACTGTGGCAAAAAATGACCTGTGAGTGAGATCCCGGTGGAAAGAATGGGCCATCAAAGAAGGAGGTACCTTTCTCTGAAGGAAGGAGAGAACTTCCACTTTGAGTATGGCCTTGTCCAAAAAGGTCGGAGTTTGTGAACTCAAGAGGCTTCCATAGCCTTGGCAGCTCGTGACAAGAGCCTCAGGTGATCACTGACATCATAAATTGTCAATTATTAAATCAACAGGAGTCACTGTGCACTTGCTCCCCACGTAGAACCTCTGTCCTTAATGAGTTGTATCGTCATTAATGAGAATTAATGGTAAAACTCGTCTTCAAACAGTATTTTATACTTTGTGTGGGTGCAAACTATTGAAATCTTTACTTAGAATAGAGTTGATCTTCTGTATATAAAGGTAATTAAAATGAACCTTAATGAAGAATGGGATGGGAGAGGGAGTAGGAGGTGGGATGGTTTGGGGTGGGAGGGTGGCTATGGGGGAAAGAACCGTTATAATCCAAAAGTTATACTTATGAAATTTTTATTAAATAAGAGCTTTCTATTAAAAATAAATAAAACAAAAAGACCATTCTCTTATAAGCTGCATATAGCTGATTCTTAACTTAAAAAAAATTAGAGCATGTAATTCTTGTAATTACTGATGTATCTGGGTGTGAATCCACTGTGTTGCTATGTGCTTCTGGTTGTCTACTACACCTGTCCTATTTTCTCCGTTTCCTCCCTCCTGTCATTTTGTTAGGCCAATTTCCCATCTACTGGCCTGGCAGTTGCACATCTCACCACACTTAGTGGCTACAATGAGCACCCCTGACTTAGCAAGTGAACTGGGACTTTGCTCCTCCCAGTCACGTAGGGCACTTACTTCACTTGGCTTACTCAGCCCTCTCAAGTTGTATGCTATTATTTTCCATTTTAATTATCTGTATATTTTTTAACTCCACAAGACATTACTGTTGCTTTATATAGACATTGCTGTTTGATTTACCCCTAGAGCTACCATTTTCATTACTGTAATTTTTTTCTATATTAGTATTATTTATTCATTTGAGGTGGGGGGGGGGATGAGAGAGAAGGAAAGAGAGGGAGAGACAGAGATAGTTCACTCTTCATATGCCCACAACGGCCAGACCGGGAATTCAATCCAGGTCTTCCTTGTGGGTGGCAGAGACCCAAGTACTTGAGTTATCACCGGCTGCCTCCCACGGCAGCAGGAAGCCAGAATGGGGGGCAGGGTGGAAACTTGAATGACCGCACTCCAATAAGATGTCCCAGCACTGCCTTAATTGGCTGGTCAAACACTTGCCCTCACACTGGTGTTTCCACAGCAGTGCTTAGGTGTCTCCATTCCCACCCCATGTTCCAACTACTAGACTGCAGTGTCTGCACAGAGTCCTCTGCCCACCCTCACCCCCCAACACCCAATACCTCTTTCCCATCAGCTCTGGAGGAACACCGCAACTTGAGAGGTCAAACCTCTCCACAGCTCCCACTGCCCGCCAGAGCAGTTTATAAATGTCCTAGTCAGTCCCTACCTGCTCCTAAACCCTAGCCCTCTGCCGTCCCTCCTCTGCTGTCTGAGCACATTTAGTTACTCCCCCAAGCACACAAGACGCTACTGAAGAAGTGCTATTTCTGTGCCTGCACTACCCTTCTTTCATACACTGGGCAAATGCTCTCGATCCCTCAAGACCCTTCACTCCTTGCCATGCTATCTCCTGCCCCGAGGGTAGACGACGTGGGCCCCTCCGAGTACACGAGGCACACACCTGCTCACCTGGCCACACTGGCCCGACTTCCATGATGGCACGGCAGCCTGAATCCCAACTTCGTACAATATGAGAATGGAACCCAAACTGAGTAAATTTACAAAACAGGGATAATAATAATAATCCCTGAAATGCCTTATCATTTGTGTTGTTTTGAAATTCAAACCACAGTCTATGTGAAACAGCTTTTTATCATGCATATATACAGATGGCTGGCTGTTAGAGACAATTCTCTTTTACAAGCTTAATGGAAAAAAATTTAAACAAAACATGACTAGCTTTATTTTGTTTCCAGAAAATGTATAAATGCAAGCATCAGTGGCTAATACCTCATTTTCTAACCTAAATAGTCGTTTTGTAATACGTTAGGGAGTTGGGTTTTTTTTTAAGCAATGTGTTTAAATTTTATTTATCTGAAAGGCAGAGACAGAGATGGACAGAGATCTTTTACTCTGCTGCTTCACTCCCCAGATGTCCACAATACCTAGGGCCATGTCAGGCCAAAACCAGAGAGCTAGAATTCTGGGTCTCCCACATGAGTGGCAAGGACCCAAGAACTTGAGCCAGCACCCACTGTTTCCTTGCTCTGAATTTCAAATGCAAACCTGGAATTTCAAGTGTTTGTTCAGATAAACTGTGTATGAAATACAAGTCTTTATTTACAATTTTTACAACTTCATGAAAACAAAAAAAGAAGCACTGCTCAAAATCTCACATAAACTAAGTAAAATCTTTCTCTGCAAATATTGGTAAAATACCTCTGCATGCTTACATAATCTAAACACATAGTTAAATGAAGCAATGTCGGTAAAATACTGAAGATGACAGTTCACAAAAGGAGAAGTTAAATTTAAACACATTTTAGTAAATGCGTAGATAATATTTTATTTGTCAAGAGATGTCAGTTTCACTTAGAATATTCAAGTACAAAAAATGAAAATCTATATACGTATATGACTGTTCAAAAAAGTTAGTAACCATTCAAACACTCTGAGAATTCTACAAAGGCAATGAAGGCAAATATCCTTGAGATATAACATCTAAATTTTTATATCTTTAATATTTGGATGTTTATAGCTATTTTCTTTTATTTTAATAAAATAATTTGACCTTATTATTCTTCTCCTAGAAAACCATGTTTAACAGGCACACAACACATCCTAATGAAAGAGTGTGACGCACTCACGCTCAAAGACACTTTGCCACCAGGTGACAGGGCTAGGCAAGGCAGTGCTTCCACGTTTCAGCATACTGTGCCAATACACTGATGCAGTCAGGCTTCCTACAGCGCTCATGGTCACCACCTCATACCATCTGACAAGAAGCTCAGGACAGTAACAATTTGTAACTGTATCAAAAATTCAAAAAGTCCTATAAAACTATTGAGGTTAGAATTTTAGCTCTATAGTACATTCTGAAATATATTCTCAGAATTTTTCATCTAGCATATGCACAAAACCCAGCTCATCTTGGACTGTAACGTAACTGGACATCCGCAGTGTGCATGAGTTCTCTTTAACAGCACTACACTGCTCTTTGGTGCACTGCGCTGCAGAGTGACAGGAAGCTGGCAGCAGCAGAAAGATCTAGATCCACTACAAAAAGCAACCAGGAATTTCTACTAACGGTGACTGTGTCAGGAATCCTCCACTGCGGCTTCTCCTCTGACCTCCTTATATATCGACCTTACCCCGAAGGCACTTTTCCATAAACGTCAGATAACGGTGGCCATCTGCCAGCAAGAGAATGACACAGCAAATAAAAACAGCAAGAGAATCGAAGCATGCTGGTAACTTTTAATGACTTAGGCTTGTGAAGATCTTCTGTGCTCTGCAACTTCTGCATTACATAAAATTGGAGCTGGAGAGAGAGAGATAAAACCTTTTGATTAGTACAATAAAAATCCATACCAGAAATAAGAATTACTAGAATCACGTATTATAAAGTTTTTACAGAAAGACCAACCAAATATCCAATAGAGAGTACTTAGCTATGAGATTTGGAAAAAGGATAGAAAGAAACAAAAGTATCAAACCATATTTTCTTGAGGGTGAATTCTTCTAAGCTCTCAAAAAAATTTGGCTTGGTGAGTTTTTAAAAAGAAAACGTAAACCGTCTTTCACACGCTAAGAAGAACAAACAGGGCCCCTAACTGCTAGCACTCCGGGGTTAGGCTGAGGGTAGGAGGGTACAGCATCCCTCTGTTCCATCATTCACAGCAAGCTGCGAAGCAGTAATAAGCTCCAGTTCAGCTTCTGAAATCCAGTGCTTGAATACAACGTAGCTGTCATACTGGCGTATCATTCAACAAACAGCTGCAGGACTACTTTCACTCTAGGCTCTGGAGGAAGGATACATCACTGAACACGATGAAGGCCACACCCTTGTGGAGCTTCTGTTAGACAGTGGGGACCGTCTGGCCCAGCACACCGGAGGCTTGCAAAATCATCTTGCCTGGCCCTGCCACAGCCATGGCAGGTGGGCCTCGGAATTCATGAACTCTACAGTGGGCTAATTTTTAAGTTGATGAGTCTGTATGGCCTGCAGATGTTATAAATACCCAAATGGCTCTCAGCAGAAAAAAAGGCTCCCCATCCCTGCACTGAAAGATCACACATGAGAAACCTTCCTTTGTCCCCCTCAAAAATACAAAATGTATAGGCCAATTAAATCTACCCAAATAGCATGGGTTTGGTTTTCATATTTAAAAAACAAAGCCACCAAGGGCTGCTACTATCCTAACTCTGTGGAGCTGCGGTAGTCCGAACACGCTGGGCGTGAGACGGAAGCACTGAGAAATGGACCCGGGAGCGTTGCTCTGGGAAGCAGCACGGGAGGGCTTGACCGGAGGGGCCGGGGGAGGTGGAGCAAACAGACAAGGACCGGAGGAGCCTCCTCAACAGAGCCGTTCACACAGGAAAACGTCAGGACATTTTAATTAGGAGAAATGAAACGAGGGACACGAAGAACAGAAGCAGCAATTATCAACACGGAAAAATGAAACTTATTTTCTAAAACTTTGGTAACTTTAACACATACCCAAACCTACAAGCCTTGAGATTATCATCCAAATGCTACTCATGGCCGCCCCCTTGCACTGTGGCCCTCTCTACCTTCCTCTGCATCTTTACGTCCACCATTGGTTTCACAAGCTCTGACATCAAAGCACAGGAGTTCGAATCGATAGCCTGGTTCCCTTATTGAAATAAAAATTCTCACAGAATCAGTATCAGTAGAATTTGTTAAATGTTGCTTGTTAGATTTCTTATACAATACTAAGCCACGCCCACAGCACCCCAGCACGCACACACCTCCCATTCAATGACTCTCGGTGGGTCAGCGGGCACAGCTGCGTCCTGGAGCACCTACTGCCCCCTCCCACAGTGAGCAGACCCCTGACTTTCGCACTGGAATGCATTTTATTTTGCTCATTCATTCACTCATTCTTGCAAATATTCACTGAGCACCTAACACATGCGGGCTGGTGTTCCAGACGCTGGGCACAAGGAGCCGCGGGAGGCAATGCGGCAGGGTCCGGGTGGGGTGGGCTGGGCTGGGCCTCAGAGCGAGGGTGGGTGGGGGTCTTACTTCTTTCGGTCCTTGTCTTTCTTCAGGTTGCCACCCGACGCCACAAAGGACTGGTTCTGGTAAATCTCGGAGGTGGCTTTCCTCTTAGAGAAAGCGATTATTTCTTCTTCCAGAAACCTCCTCTTCTCCTCAAGCTTCATTCTCTCCTCTTGGTGAACTCTTTTAAGGTGCTCGAATTTGGCCTGCAGCTGTGAAACAGAAGTGCAATTCCTGCAGGTGACACAGTGTGGCAGCACACACACACACACACACACACACACTGAAGCTCACGGCTTAATTTTTAAGTGCGTTCCCATGCAAAAATGCTCCACTCAAATCCTATAAAAACCATACTTTTTAAAGCTTCTGAACAAGACTCAGTTTAGTTTTTAAAATATTTGATCTTTCTGTAGAGTATCTATTTTCTCTTTACATTCTCTCCACAAAGGCCCTTAAACTTCTTTGGTCCACACTCACTAAAAAGAAGGGACAGAAAATAAAGGGATGTCTCAAAAAGAAGACAAAACAAGCTCTTCTTTTCCAAATGAAGAAAACATGTGCCATGAAACAGGTTTTGAAAATTACGCTGGTGAACCCTACTGGAAAGCAGGTGCATTTATGTCAAGAACCCTGAGAAGCAGATTCAAGAAAGCGCTCTGATCTCTGCCTAAAAGCAGGACATAAATTTTACAAAGACAAAAGGTATCCTGGGGCTGGCACTGTGGCAAAGAGGGTTAAGCCACAGTCTGCGATGTCAACATCCCGCACGGGTGCCAGTTTGGGTCCCAGCTGCTCCATTCCCATCCAGCTCCCTGCTAGTGCACCTGGGAAAGCAGCAGAAGCTGGCCCAAGTGCTTGGACCCCTGCACCCACATGGGAGACCCAGATGTAGCGCCACATTCCTGGCTAAGCCTGGCACAGCCCTGGCTGTTGTGGCCATGTGGGAGTGAACCAATGGGTGGACGATGTCTCTGTCTCTCCCTTTCTCTGTAATTCTGCCTTTCAAATATATAAATCTTAAAACAAACAAAGAAAAAACCAAAACAACAACAACAACCCACAAAGGCATCCTGCCCACCTCCGACCCAGGGAAAACACTTTAACACTGAGAACAACCTTGGACCCCTCTGGGCCTGGAGAAGGCACAGGAAGGACCAACTGTCAGTTATGGGCCTGATAACCTACTTAACACTTCCAATGCGCGGCTAGGAACACCAGTCACCCGGGAGCCCCACTGCCCCAACCACTGCCCCGGGGAGTTAAGGCCCCACCCCCAGTCCTCTGGCGTCCACAGGGAAACCCTCAGGACAGCACAGGACAGGGTAACTGGATGGTTCCACAGCCATGCTTGTCTATCCTCGAGTTCCCCTCCCCTGGCACAGCTCACAGAGAAGCCAGTAAGGAGATGAGACACTTGAAACACATGCCAAGTTCTGCATAGCAGATCAAACAGTCCAGGCACCAGGAAGTAGTAGGTGAACCTGGTTTAATTGTGGTTTACCTCAACACAACAACAAAAGCCTAGGGACCTGAGCAGACTTCATGTGAAATCAGCCACAGGCCACGTGTCCAACCACACACAGCATCTAGAGTCTGAGGCACGGCATCTGGAGTCTACAGCAACAAAGAGAACATTTTTTTTTTCCTGTTTTCTGGTTCAGTTAGATAAACCTCAGGTAGCATTTTCAGCTAAGGGCAACAACCTAGAAAAGATGGTATCTACTAGCTGAGGAATATTTCACTAAAAATCAGAGGTGAAACGTAGAAACCAGACAGCTAAACTCCAGCTAACGATGCAACAGATGATGGCTCAAACAGTTGAGTTCCTGCCACCCATGTGGGAGACACAGACAAGCTCCTGGCTTTGGCCTGGCCAAGTCCTGGCCATGGTGGGCATGTGGGGAGTGAAATAAATAAGTACAATCAGTTAACTTTGAAAACCTGCATGTTCCGAACATGGAACAATTATCCTTTGGGCCAGCGGGTCTCTGGGAAGTCTTCAGTGGGAGACCAGGCTGCGGGGGAACCTAAGACTGTTTTATTCCAGAGGACACCTTTTCAGAGAAGCACCCGTTTCCCAGTCTTTCCTTATTTAAACCGCTCTCCCTTTAAGACGGTAAATGTGTGCGTTTCAGGGCGGGCCTCCTGTAGCTGTCATTCAAAGAAATGGTAGCAATCCAAGGCAAGTCAGAGCTCTCTGAGAAGGTGCGCCCTGTAATCGGGGAGAGGCTGGATACTTCTTATGCATTATTCAAATACCCTGAAAGGCCTCTTCACACTTCATGCACCACGTTCACCCAAATTTCCTGCAAAACTAAAGAGGAAAAACATTTAAAAATGGCCACTTGGTGAGATTATGGTATCCCTATTAATTTTCTTAGGGTTGGGGAGGAACTCAGGTAGTCTACTTTCACTTTTCTGTTGTTTGAACCGTTTCAAAATAAAATATAAAAATTCAAATTATAAATAAAATGAGTAGACTTTTACTTTCACAAAACCATTTCCTGTGGGGTTTATTTAACAGCAAGCACTACAAAGATACTTGAAATTAAAAAGCCTGCAAAATTAAATTACAGGGACCTTTCCTGGCACGCACACCATCGAGTTCGTCTGTGGAACACTTCTGTCCTCTCTTGGGAACTCCCTTGGGCAGTCAGGTGATTCTCATCTGACGCAGCCCTTTACTCTAAGTCACCACTGCTGGTGCGTCTACAGGTCTACAGACAACAGCCTGACTCAGATGCACCTAGAAGCACTGCTTGAAGGACCTGGATAGGAGCAAACAAGCTGTGGAAGCTCACTGGTGATGTCTTCCTTGGCTGTGTCATCTAGACCGCACACCTGCATCCAAAGAGCCTGAGTTCAGCTGTGAAGACCAGCTGCTCCACAGCTCGCAGTTACCCAATCTCATGGCAAACGGCCCCAACAGTTCTCAACACAGGCTCCAACAAGCCACAGCTAAGGTTTTTCATTTACGGTATATTTAAAACATGTCTTAGTAACCTAGTTTATTTTAAGTTTCTGGCAAATGATTTTAGATGAAAGAATAGTTACTCAAAAGGCCAAGATTTTAACTTGATTCATTCACATCATGAATTTTTTAGTCTATATCCAAACACTACTTTTATATATATATATATATATATTAGAGGCAGAGGAACCGACAGAGAGATGAAGACAGAGACAGAAGTCTTCCATCCACTGGTTCACTCCCCAAATGGCTCTAACAGCCAGAGCCAGGCTGATGTGAAGCCAGGAGCCAGGAGCCAGAAGCTTTTTCTGGGCCTCCCGTGCGGGTGCAGGGACCCAAGCACTTGGGCCATCCTCTACTGCTTTCCCAGGCCATAGCAGAGAGCTGGATTGGAGAGGAGCAGCCAGGACTTGAACCGATGCCCATGTGGGATGCTAGAGCCACAGGAGGAGGCTTAGCCTACTACGCCACAGTGCCAGGGCCCCCAAACACTACTTTTTTAAAGGACAAGGGCTTCCCAATGCATCTTCCACCTAAAGAACCAACGGAATCACAGCGGGCAGCCGCACTTGCCTCCTTCTCGGCCTCTTTCAGTATGGCCTCTTTCTCCTTCACTCGCTGCACAAACATCTGCTTCATCTCCTCTTCCTTCCTCTGGCGCTCACCATGCAGCTCGTGTCTTTTGGCTTCATAGGTCTCCTGAAGACTGAAGAGTTATCCGTGTTATTCTCAAGTTCGAAAGATCACGTAGCACACAGCTCGCAGCACACGGCATACATGTAAGTACTGGTGTTTTCTGACCTACAGCAACCCCAAACAGGCAATTTCCTGCAACACGAGATGAAACACTGCCAGTCCTACAGCTGACACTGACTATTACAATTGAAAAATATTGGTTTAACAGTTATTACACAAGGAATACCCCCATGCATTCAAACATGCTCCTTTTTCCATCTTTGTTAGCTGGCTTCCCTGTTATCTTGAAATCTTGAAGTGTTCCCTTGCCCTATCTAGTAATCTCATTGTGTTTCTAATCTCAATCACCTCTGGGCTGCTAGTTCCTTTCTTCCACTTGGTTCTTCTTGCCACTCCTAGATTTTACACCTACACAGAAAACAGACCTCATTTTTCCTCCTAACATTACCATTCCACTTCCTACAGAACAAGGTGCCACCTCCTTTAAGCAGGACTAAAATAATCCAACACTTTGCAATCTGGCTCTCACCAAATGCATCCAGCCCCTGCAGGTTCCAGCCACAACTTCCTCACTGCTCCAGAAGCACACCTCACCTTTCAGGCGTGATTACTGTTTCTCCCACTTCCTACACCCGTTCTCCCTTCCCACCCTCTTCTACTACTCTGCTCGATCCCTCAAGACCAAATTCAGATGCAACTGCTATAATGGCATCCTCATGCGCCCCAGTTGGAAGTAATTCCTTGTCTCACTGCCATGGCACTTACATCCTGCCCAACTCTACCTGCTAATGCGCCTGGGAAAGCAGTGGATGATATCCCAAGTGCATGGGCCCCTGCACTCATGTGGGACACGTGGAGGAGGCTCTGGGATCCTGGCTTTTGCCTGGCCCAGTCCTGGTCACGGAAGCCTTTTGGGGAGTGAATCAGTGAATGGAAGATTGTGCTCTCTCTCTCCTCCTCTCTGTAACTCTGCCTTTCAAATAAATTAAAAAATTATTTTTTAAAGTACAAGTGCTAGATTTTAATAAAACATTGTTATCATTTTTAACCCTTACTATCCTTTAAATGTACTCAAGTTAGTTTGCTCATCTGGACTTTTATTTATTTTTTTGTTTTGTAAGGCAGAGAGAAAGAGAAAGAGACACTTCTCATCTACTAGTTCACTCCTCAAGTGCCCGGGAACGAGAAACTCAACCTGGGTCTCCCACTGTGAGAAGCAGGGACCCAACTACTTGAGCCACCAGCTGATGCCTCCCGTGGTCCATTAGCAGGAAGCTGGAGCCAGAAAGCGGGCCCAGGCACTCCAATAGGGGACGTGGGTGTCCCACACAGCATCTTAACTGCTGCACCAAATGCCAGCCCCTCAAAAATTCTAAATGATAAAATATTTTTAAAGAGGTGATTATGTGTGGGAAAGAGATTAGTTATATTAATCTGAAATGATTAAACTTCAGTATTTAAAATATTATAAAACATGTTTTGTATAAACAACTAATATAAAACTTTAAGAGTAAAATGTCATTTACTCGGTCCTTATGACAAGCAATGATCAGTTCTGATGATGAGGACACCAACTCTGATTCCACAAAACCACACAGTGAAACAGGAATGGGCAACCAGCAGTGGGGAGAGCTGGGAAGTAAGGACAGATGACCGTCACCCTAACAAGGGTCAGTTTAGTTTCTTTAATTGCTAGTTAGACCTCATCCTGGGGCACAGATTTTATATGCAGACCAAATTATACTGACTAACAAAGTAAATGGCAAACAGTCCCCAGAATGTAACTTCTTGAAACTAGAAAAAAATAAAAGCTGCCTAACTTACCAGGCTATAATGATCAACAGAAGCCTTATCAAATCATTAATTCACAAATGAGAAAGCAGAGCAGGCGCCACCCTCACGATGAAATCTGGCCCCCACCCTTCTTGCTTGTCCTCTGCAAGTAACCTCAGGTACCACCCCTCCCAGTCTGCAGCCTAAATCGACAATCCCACTCCGCCTCTCTGGTTTCTACACTGCATCTCATCAGTGAGCAGATGCATCCCAAACTGAGGAAAGACTCAACAAACAGATGTGATGGGCAATCTATGATTCTTTTTAAAGATACATTTGTTTATTTGAAAGGAAGATTAAGAGAGAGGCAGTGGCAGAGTGGAGAGGGTGGGGGGAGGGAGGGAGGGAGGGAGACAGAGGGAAAGGGAAAGGGAGAGGGAGAGGGAGAGGGAGAGGGAGAGAGAGAGAGAGAGAGAGAGGTCTTCCATCTGCTGATTCACTTCCCAAATGGCCTCAATGCCCAGAGTTGTGCCAGTCTGAAACCAGGAGCCAAGAGCTTCTTCTGGGTCTCCCACCTGGGTGCAGGGGCCCAAGGATTTGGGCCATCTTCTACTGCTTTCCCAGGCCACAGCAGAGAGCCGGATTGGAAGAAGAGCAGCTGAGACTCAAACCAGCGCCCATATGGGATGCCGGCCCTGCAGGTGGTGGCTTTACCTGCTATGCCACAGTGCTGGCCCCGATCTATGATTCTTGATTGACTTATCCCATCCTTTGGGATGCTGCCCAGTGGCACAATTCATCAGTTTCACTTCCACTCAAAAGAGACAAGGATGTGACCTAACTTGGGCCTACTGCATACTCCTGGCCTGGAGTATGAATCGTGAGCACAGAACAAAAGGGTGATTTCAGTTCATTCACTCCACTCCAGAGATACTGTCTGTTCTCAGTCTTCCCCTGAAACCACCCAGTCCTGGCCGTGTAGCCCGCCAACACTGCTCTTCTTGTTTAACACACCTCGACCTCCAGTATTTCCAAAGAACTTGAAGGCAGCATTTCTGCACTTGGGCAGCACACACCTTGTCTTCCAAGGTTTTCCTTCGCCTGCCCGACCCTCCTCATGCTCTCCTAGCTATCCACCCAGCTGACCAACACTAGGCTGTCTCAAGCCGTTACTGAGGACCTGTCTTTCCAACTGTGCTTCTCTGTCTAGGCAATCCTGTTCCTGCCCATATTTACCATCTGAACGCCCAGGACTTCTCCTGAGTACTTGATTCACAAGAAACTAAGCCAACAGACCCAAGGCAAGCTCACGCTCTCTACCATGCCTCCACTGCCACCCTTCACTGAGACCTAGCTAGCACTCCTTCAGCAATCTGCCTTGGCAGATGGGACCACCATCCTCCTCACCAACGAAACCACAAACCCAGAGGAGCAGCAGGCTCCTTCTAGCATCTTCTGGCATGTCCTGCTGTTTCCCCCATTTACTACAGCTGAAAATATCACTGCTTCAAGGATATCTAACCTAATTTTCTGGCTTACATTAGGACCCTCCCATGTCTACTTCTCTAGATGTACAGATCACAACTATAATTTACTATACAATTTGGTGTTTAATTTTGGTTTTCCAATAAGAATGTAAACTTCATGAGAGCCAGGGATATATTACATCCCCAGCACATAACTCAGAATCTTGCAAATAATAGAAACTTTAAAGATATTTATGGGCCTGTGCAGTGGCGTAGTGGGTAAAGCCACTGCCTACGACACCAGCATCCCATGTGGGTACTGCTTTGTCCCAGCTGCTCCACTTACTACCCAGTTTCCTGTTAACAGCCTGGGAACAGCAGCTGAAGATGGCCCCAGAGCCTGAGTTCCTGCCTCCTACGTGGGAGACCCGAATGGAGCTCTTGGCTCCACCCTGGCCCAGCACTGGCCGTTGTGGCCATCTAGGGAGTGAACCAGTGGAGAGAAGATCTCTCTCTCTCTGTAACTCTTTCAAATAAAACTTTTAAAAAAACTTTATGATTTTAGCAAATACTATTTACTACTGACTTCCAAATTACTATCTCACCCCTAACTTTCCTCCAAACTTCTGATTCATTTGTTATAACTTAGCCAAATTCCTTGCCAGAATTATTTAATAAACAGTTTAAACTTAACATTTCTGAGAACTATTGATTACCAGCCCAACCCCTAAAATCTCCCCTTTTCGTCTTGCTCATATCAATAAACGTTACCACCTTCACCTTGAACCTTGGGTCAAAATGGTGACTAAGGTCACCCTTGATTCCTCTTTTTCCTTTATATTCCATATCCAAAAGAATTCATCAGTAAGCCCTACAGATGACGGGTCCTAAACACACTCCACCCTCTAACTCTGCTCCCTTGTCTGACCTTCCATGTCTCATTCCTGGACCACTGCGGTGGCCTCCTGCTTGGCCTCCACACTTCCCCTTGTGAATGCCCCCTATACTCTCTTGTCCACATGGGGCTAGTTTCCTTTTCCCACCCTCACCCCAGAGGCTCTGTGTAAGCAGGTCTCTATCTACCTGAGCCATTGTACATACATACCCAGTTATTTGCATGCTGAGCAGATGGTAAACAAACAAGAATTATTTGTTGAATGAATGGGAATTTTCTTTTGCTTTTTAAATTTCTTATTTATTCGAAAGGCAGAAAGAAAGACAAGGGGGAGAGACAGAAACAGAGACAGAGAGAGCTTCCATCTGCAGTTCACTCTCCAAACACGTGGGCCTCCCAGGCTATGTAACAGTGGGAAGGAAGCTGCAATAGGAAGTGAGCTGGGACTTGAAGCCAGGCACTCTGATATGGGCATGTGGGGGTCCATGCAGCATTTTAAGCAATACACCAAATGCCCAATCTCTGAATGGAAATTTTAAAATGCAGACCCCCAGGGTGCACCCCTGAGAATTCTGCACCATTCTGAATTCTTCATGTTGGGGCAGCTGATGATGAACCTGCAAGGAAACCCAGATCCCTTTTCTTGGGGAGTCCCTCAAAGCTTTCCCACTTACTCTCAGTGTCTGCTTCAGGGCACAGGGAACCGAGAGCTGGAAGAAGGAAGTGAGGCCTCCCTGGGAAACCTCAGACCATCTTTAATGACTGAAAAAGCCGCCAAGTGACCAGAATTACTGGCCCACAACCTGCAGTATAACATGCCTGAATTTGGTAAAGGGGGTCAAGTACAAACAATTCTTAATGCACTGTACTATCAGAAATGAGAACACTAATTAAATTTGCAGCTTGAAAACATTAAAAAAAATGGACTTCATCCATGACTAAATCTTGCAACAGCAGCACTGATTCAATGCCCTTCTCCTCTTCCCTTTGTGTTGATGTCAGTGCAAACGCTAACAGCCTGGGAAATGACTGACAGCAAATAACAAAATGAAAGAAGTCTGCCTCCTGGAGTTCAAAAAAGTGTCCTGACGTTCTCATGCTTTCCTTCATGCAAAAACTGTTCTGGGACACTCTATTGAATCAAAGGTTTTTATTTTTATTTTTAAGGTTTCTTTATTTGAAAGGCAGAGACTCAGACAGTGAGGGAATGACAGAGGAGTGGGGGGAGAGAGAGACAGATCTATCTGCTGGTTCACTCTCCCCTCCCCAAAGGACTTTAACAGCCAGGACTGGATCAGGCCAAAGCCAGAAGCCAGGAACTCCATTGGATCTCACACATGACTGGCAGGGGCCCAAGCACTTGAACTATCATCCACTGCCTTCCCAGGTACATGCGCAGGAAGCTGGATCAGAAGCAGAACAGCCAGGCACTGAATGGGCACTCCGGTACGGGATGCAGTGTTGCCAAGTGGTGGCTTAACCCACTGCCCCACAACATCAGCCTCTCAACAGCAGAGACAAGAGTACAGTAAGAGAAGGCTTCTATCTGTTGGTTCATTCTCCAAACATCCACAATGGCCAAGGTTGAGCTGACGCCAAAGCTGGGAGCTAGGGACTACGCAGGTGACAGGAACACCTATCACCTCTGCCCCCCAGGGTGTACATTTACAGGAAGCTAGAATCAGGATCCAAATCTAAAAACTGAATGTGGGCTTAACTACAAGGTCAAAGGTTGAATGCCCTTTCTCACAAATCAGATTTGATTTAGTATATTAAAGACTGTAATTTCATGTATACATGTCTTAAAGTGACCAAAGGAGTTTATAACGATACTGAATGCTGTAATCACTGAGAGAGAAGGTCTTCAGGTTCTAAAATTCTTATAACCACATTGCACTGCTGCAAGATTCCCTTCAAGTGTTTTCATTCTTCAGCAAGACCTTTGGCTGAGTTCCAGGCATTCCAAAACTTCAAGAGGCTAGAAACCAACTGACAATGTTTTAATCTACTTAACATAATCTGCATTACAGTTAGCCTTGGTGGTAATAGCTAAACACACTTGCATCTATTTCAAATAAATACAAAATGAAACCTAACACAAGGGCTTTTTCTCCCTTCAGGTATGCATGCCGGCCAATACTGAAGCGGTGGGCTGCTGCCTTCTGTTCTTCCTTCTACTGTCCTCTTCTGGGCCAGACAAGGACTTCGAGACGACGGCAAGTGACTCAAGCAGCACGGCTCTTCACTGTCAGACGACTCCACTGCACGCTCTCCGCATCAGCGTGACCTTGCGGCCTTCCGCGCCGGCTTACCTGACGGGCTTGTTCCCGGGGCCGACGTCTGTAAAGCCCATCTCCTCCAGCTTGCAGCGCCGGTACAGCTCGTAGTGCCGGCTGTGCGTCTGCTCCCGCAGGTCCTCCATGTTTGTGCAGATGAGCATCTCCCGCAGCTTGACGAAGTCGCAGTGGTTCTCGTTTTCCACTAGCCAGAAGAAATGAAAAGAAAAACAAAACAAAACACTGGTTTTTATTTCCGGCACACAATCAGTGTTTGCTGAATGAACAGATAAATGAAAACACAGGTGAAATAACAAAGAATGATGGGGCCAGCGCTGTGGCGTAGTGGGTAAAGCCACCGCCTGCAGGGCCGGCATCCCATGTGGGCGCTGTTTCGAGTTCTGGCTGCTCCACTTCCAATCCAGCTCTCTGCTGTGGCCTGGGAAAGCTGTAGAAGATGGCCCAAGTCCTTGGGCCCCTGCACCCACGTGGGAGACCCAGAGGAAGCTCTGGCTCCTGGCTTTGGATGGGCGCAGCTCTGACCGTTGCAGCCAATTGGGGAGTGAACCAGCAGATGGAAGACTTCTCTCTATATACCTGCCTCTGCCTCTCTGTAACCTTGCCTTTCAAATAAATAAATCAATCTTAAAAAAAAGAGAGATTTATTTATTTATTTGAAAGGCAGGGTTACAGAGAGACAGAGATCTTCCATCTGCTGGTTCACTCTGCACATGGCTGCTATGCCGGACTGGGCCGGGCTAACAACAGGGCCAGGAGATTCTTCAGGGTCTTCCACATTACTGCAGAAGCCCAAGCACCTGGGCCATGTTCAGCTGCTTTCCCAGGTCATCAGCAGGGAACGGGATTGGCAGTGGAGAAGCCGGGACTGGAACCGGTGCCCACATCGGGTGCTGGTGTCACAGGCAGTGGCTTGATCCACTATCCCATGGCACAGCCCCAATTTAACTTTTTAAATTGGCTGACTGGTTTGTTCTGGGAAGAGTTGGCAAGACTTTGACCAATAAAAATATATAAATTTACAAGACTGTCTATTCTGCCCTGTAGTTAGGTGCTTCTCACCTTCTGACATCACCAGAGACACAACTGAGTGTGGCACGACCCAGCCTCTACGACCCATTTATGTAAGACACAACCAGTCCTCCGACAAGGCGGACTCCCAAACAGCCAGCACTTTTTTTGCAGAATGTGTCACAGGCGAATTGAAGCTCCCGGGCAACACAGAGACCGCCAGCCAGGGCCCGTGTGTCCCCTTTACCTTGCACAACGCCCCAGGGGTACAGGCCCATGTGTCTCCTTTACCTTGCACAACGCCCCAGGGTACAGGCCCATGTGTCTCCTTTACCTTGCACAACGCCCCAGGGGTACAGGCCCATGTGTCTCCTTTACCTTGCACAACGCCCCAGGGGTACAGGCCCATGTGTCTCCTTTACCTTGCACAACGCCCCAGGGGTACAGGGCCATGTGTCCCCTTTACCTTGCACAACGCCCCAGGGGTACTGGGCCATGTGTCCCCTTTACCTTACACAACGCCCCAGGGGTACAGGCCCGTGTGTGCCCTTTACCTTGCACAACGCCCCAGGGGTACAGGCCCGTGTGTCCCCTTTACCTTGCACAACGCCCCAGGGGTACAGGCCCGTGTGTCCCCTTTACCTTGCACAACGCCCCAGGGGTACAGGCCCATGTGTCCCCTTTACCTTGCACAATGCCCCAGGGGTACTGGCGAGCTTTGACCATCTTACTGCCGACTTTCACCTCGTCCATGCTTCCTACAACAGCAAAAGGCAAATGTCCCTGGAAGAGAACCACATCAGTCACATGTCTGCATGACAGCGTGACCGGAGACTAGCTAGAAGACAAGTAAACAGTAGAGGACACTTTATTAGGTGACAGACCAATGAAGGGCAAATGGTACGCTGTGCATTGGACTGTAAACCTCGGCAGTGAATCTGTGCTGACTGTGCTAGAACAGGCATTTTTGAGCTCTCTATTCCCTGAGCATCCCTTACATGCAAGGTCTTATCCTGCTGGGAATAGAGGAAAAAAGGAAGGATTTTAATAAATATCATTTCCCTCAGTATTTTCTTTGCACAAAGATAAAGTTGAGGAAATTACACAGAGCTTGAATGTACTTCAAAAAGTTCAAGATACTGCTTAGGAAGCCCGCATCCCACAGGGACCCTGGCTTTGCTCCCTATTCCAGTTTCCTGTTAATGCGTACCTGGCTTTGTCCTAGCCCAGCCCTGGCTCTTGCGGGCACTTGGGGAGCAAACCAGATTTGAGTTCTCTGTTAGTCTGTATGTCTCTCTCTGCCTTTCAAAATAAACAAACACGGGCAGGGGTTGAGGTGTAGTGAGTAAAGCTGCCACATCATCCCACATAGGTGCCGGCTGGAGACCCCGCTGCGCCCCTTCTGATCAGGCTCCCTACTAATGGCCCGGGAAAGGAAGCGAAAAATGGCCCAAGTGCCTGGGCTCCTGCCGCACGTGTGGGAGATATGAAGCCCCTGGCTCCTGGCTGTGGCCTGGCTCTGCCCTTACCACTGGGGCTACTTGGGGAGTGAACCGGCAGATGGAAGATCTTTGTCCTTCAATCTCAATCTCTCTTTCTCTCTACCTCTATCTCTGTAATTCTTACTTTCAAATAAATAAATAAACTTTAAAAAAAACTAAATTTATAAAGATACATTTTGGTATACAAAATTTTGAAATCCATGCATAATTTTTCATAATAGGCATTTTTCGTGAAGTTTTTTGAGAGCCCCTGTATGCATGGATTTCAAAATTTTCCACACCAAAATAAACTTACCTTTTAATTCCATCTTCTACCAACTTTTCCAAGTATTTTTGCATGTATAACCAAAATATACATTTAGTTGTGCACAGACATGCAGTACTGTTGGCATCATATTAGTACTAATAGTATGAGTCCCCAACTGGTGCTGCTGCGGGAACGGAGAGGCGAGATCACAAAGGCAGAAGGGCAGAAGCCCTGCTAGATCAGGAGGGATGGTGTAACGTGATCAGGAGCCGGAGAACGAGTGATAGGGGATAAACCGGCAGGCACAAGCCCTTTATGCAACTCTAACCTACCTGTCAAGCCACATGCCTTTCCCAGGATGCACCTGCTTCATCTGGGACCTAAGAGGGTCCTCCATGAAACTACGGATATTAAGCGTCACATGGAGCTAGTGGAAGTGTCCCATAATCCCCAGGCGGCTTCATACCTGCAGAAGCGCCATCCCTTACTCCCGACCTCATAAAAGAGGCGGACAGCAGGGGGACGCTCTCTCTCTTTGGACCAGAGCTGGAGTGCTGCACAGAGGTGCCTTCTGTCTCCTGCTCCCTTCAGGCAATCCTGTGGCTCACTCAGAATGAGTATTTCTCCATGTGTGGCAATTTAGACTCACGTGTGTATAGGTATATCCACTTTCTCACATTTTCAATACATTTTTTTAGATTTATTTATTTATTTCAAAAGCGGGGTTACAGAGAGGCAGAGGCAGTGATTCACTCAACAGATGGCCTGGGCCGATCTGAAGCCAGGAGCCAGGAGCTTCTTCCAGGTCTCCCACACAGGTGCAGGGACCCAAGGACTTGGGCCATCTTCTACTGCTTTCCCAGGCCACAGCAGAGAGCTGGATCAGAAGTGGAGCAGCTGGGACTTGAATCAACACCCAAACGGGATGCAGATACTGCAGGCAGTGGCCTTACATGCTACACCACAGTGCCGGCCCCTTGAATACATTTCGTTATCACTTTTGCACCTTCTTTGTGTCTGCTCTTAGAATGCTCATCTTTTTGCGAAACAAAAGCCTGAAGTAAAAATTAATACACCCAAGCCCACATTACTAGCCCAGAAGGAGACTGTGACCAAAATGCTAGATTAAAGGGCAGGGAACAGACAGGTCTGTCTACAGCTGGGGATTAATAACAGGGGGAAAGTATCATTAAAAGTAGCAAGTACCGGCCGGCGCCGCAGCTCACTAGGCTAATCCTCCACCTGCGGTGCCGGAACCCCAGGTTCTAGTCCCAGTTGGGGCTGTCCACATTGCTCCTCTTCCAGTCCAGCTCTCTGCTGTGGCCCGGGAGTGCAGTGGAGGATGGCCCAAGTGCTTGGGCCCTGCACCCCATGGGAGACCAGGAGGAAGCACCTGACGCCTGACTTCGGATCAGCGCAGTGCGCCGGCCGCAACGCACTGGCTGTAGCAGCCACTTGGAGGGTGAATCAACGGAAAAAGGAAGACCTTTCTCTCTGTCTGTCTCTCTCACTGTCTAACTCTGCCTGTCAAAAAAAAAAAAGTAGCAAGTACCATGCTTAAAATTTAATAATTGATATTATTTAGTTAATTATGCCTTCCTGAAAAAATTATTCCAGGTGAGCACAAGAAATAGAATTAGATGTAAAGACAATTTTAACATGTAGGAAATAAGACCATTTGGTTTACATTAGGTTTTTATACATTTAGTTTAGGCATAATAATATAAATGGCACGTGAAAAATTAGAAAAGGCATTTAACAAATGTTAGGCATTTAACAAAAGTTAAATCATTTCATCTTCACAACAACTCTTGGAAGAAGTATAATGAACTAATTTTGTAGTTAACAGCCTCAGGAAGGTTATAACGCCCACAGGACACATAGGCAAGTCTGCCGGACTTTAAAACCCACGGTCCGTCAAAATAGAACCAGATATGTAAGAAAAATGTTAGCTCAATAAAGTAAAATAAGGAACTGAGTGAGTCATCCCCAATGACATTAAACTAAAAGTAAGGCAAATGTTTATTTTTGTTAAAGAGATTTTAAAAAAAATTAAGTAATTTTTACAAAAATATTTGAACGGCATCTAAAAGAGAGAGAGACAGAGACAAATAGACTGATCTTCCATCTGCTGGTCCACTCCTCAAATTCACACAAGCACTAGGGCTGGGTCAGGCAGCAGCCAGGAGCCCAGAACTCAGTCAAGGTCCCTACTACGGGTGGCAGGGATCTAAGCGTCTGACCCATCACCTGCCGCCTCTCAGGGTGTACATTAGTAGGAAACTAGAAGCAGAGCTAAGGGAGAATGAGTATAAAAACCAGCTCTGAGAGATCTCTTCAAACACGTGAGAGTCTAAAGCATTCCAAGGAAAGCTACGTAGTTTCCTCTTGTTTCCAAAGACGGGATCAAAAGGCATTTTTCCAGGCAACTGTCCCATGAAAGGTGCATCCCCATCATAAATGTACCACTTTATGTAGGCCAAAGAACAGACGAAAAAAAAAAAAGATGCCTAAGAATATATTCTCATTATACCTTTCCCAATACACACACACAAATCGTTTTTCATTCTGAACTTTGGGAAAATTCACCTTGTATAAGGTCCTTTTGGAAAACAAACATGAGCAGCAACATTACACATACATCACAGTTTTATTTCCCCCGCAGAACAGAAGGATTAACATGCAGCTAGGAGCTCACATTCATCGCAGTGTTGACTTTGGCAATGGTGTCGTCGTCTGTCGGGAACTGGTATATCTGGACGCCATTGCTGACCAGCTCACTCATGAGCTTGATCTTAAACTTCTGCAATTCAGTTTTAGAAATCGCATCTGCTTTGGCAATCACTGGTATAATGTTCACCTGTTAAGAAAATAACAGGTTATGTTAACAAAATAACATCATTGAGGGTTTGTTTTTTAATCATGTAGTCATTTTTTTCCCCAATCATAAAACCATTCAGTCTCTAACAATGAATTTTATTAACCCAGAACAGGGGGTTGGCAAACTATGTGCATCTTGCTGTTTTTTTCTTAAATTTTATTTATTTATTTATTTGAGAGGCAGAGCTATGGACAGAGAGAGGGAGAGACAGAGAGAAAGGTCTTCCATCCACTGGTTCACTCCCCAAATGGCTGCAACGGCCAGAGCTGAGCCGATGCAAAGCCAGGAGCCAGGAGCCAGAGCTTCCTCTGGGTCTCCCATGTGGGTGCAGGGGCCCAAGGACTTGGACTCCCTTCCTCTCCTTTCCCAGGAGCATCACCAAGGAGCTGGTGCCCACATGAGATGGCAGTGCTGCAGACGACGTCTTTACCTGCTATGCCACAGCACAGGCCCCTATAAATAGATTTATTGGAACATTACTAGGCCTAGTCACTAAAGTATTGTCTGTGGTTGGTTTCATGCTACAAGAGATGAGTAGTTGTCAGAAAGACCTGTGGATGGTCTGCAAAGTCCAAAGTACTTACTCGGTGGCCCCCTGTGGGAGAGGCGTGCTGCTGACCGTAATCTACTCACTGGCTGTCACTCTCCTGTATATATCCCCATATGGGGACAATCATTCTTGCACAAGCTGGCTTACCACTCCACAACTATTCAAAAGTACACTGACCTACGTGTGAAGTGCTCTCCCAGACTTCACGCTTTCCACATGCATTTCTACAGAGGAAGCAGGGACATCCAAGATACCCTTGTATGCCGAATCTTACGTTATAAAGTTCGGAGCCATTGTTAGGAAAGCTGTGTTTCCCACATCACTAGCGGATACAGAATAAGTCTAGAGACTTTTTTTTGTATAATAGTAAGTAGTCTTTTTTAAGATTATTTATTTGAAAGGCAGAGTTAGAGAGGGAGAAGCAGAGAGACAGAGATTTTCCATCCTTTGATTCACTCCCCAAATGGCTGCAAAGACTAGGGTTGTGCCAGGAGCTTCATCTGGGTCTCCCACGTGGGTACAGGGGCCCAGGAACTTGGGCCATCTTCTGTTGCCTTCCCAGGTGCATTGGCAGGGCGCAGGATCAGAAGTGAAGCAACTGTTGCCCATATAGTATTGTAGGTGGCAGCTTAATCCCCTACATCACAGTGCTGGCCCCAGTAAGTAACCTTTAATCACCTTTTAAACAAATATAAAAACCTGTAGCAAGTTAATACAGATAACATTTTTTTACAGCTCTATGAATTTATACATAGCTCCCAGGCTTGGAAGTTTTAAATGTAAGTTTTCTTGGTACGGTCTACATTGAAATATAATGTACTTTAATATGTGAAGAAACATTAAACCTTAATCTCTGTGAACAAAGTTCTTCCTCTCATGAGTGTCAAAGTAAATTTAGTGTCAAATAAATTCAAAATACAAATGCACATAATACCGAAGTTTTGGCATACAAGTCAGTCACTCAGAAGGGAAATGAATCGTACTGTTATGTTTCTTCTTTGCACTCATCTTCCGGACTCCAAGCTGAGTTTCTCCAGAAAATAAGCTAAGCAGGAAACTTACCAAACGCTTTAAAGATTCACAGAGTAAAACTATGACACAGACACATACTGTAAAGATATTTTAAGAGTGCAATATAAATAATAAAGTTTGGTAAGTTGACTGTTTTCCTAAACACACCTTGCTGTCTAGGTTCTTCATGGTTAAGAGGTCAAGCGTCTTTAGTGAGTGGCCCGTGGGAGAGATGAAGTAGAGGCAGACATGGATGCGCGAGTCGTGGTAGTTGAAGAGAGAGCGCTTAATTTTCAGTTCTTCTTGGAGATAGGCTTCAAATTGAGCATCTATGTAGTCAACTATTGGTTGGTAGCTGGAAGAAAATAAGTAGTTAAATATTTAATGTCACATACGCATGCTACCTTACAAGATTTTCACGCAGTTCTGAAGGTGGAAGTCTATATGACTTCATAGACAAAACATACCGTGCAGAATGCGTACACACAAAGGGGGGACTTCAGAATCATCCGGACAACCTGCACTTGTCAAGCACTGAGCTTGTCACCTTGTTCCCACATCTATTCACACACTGGCTCTCTTTCTGACAAAGGTTCCCATTCTTGCGGCTTGCTCTAAGAGGCGAGGACTCTCGTTTGTAAGCAGAGTGGTACATGCACGTCACTGAACTGACAACAGGCACCGGTCACGACTTCCCGCTTCTCACGAGACTTGAAAGGCATGGACAGCACTGTCAGGTGCAGGGCACACGCCAGCTGCAAGCCTCAGCCCAGCAATGCTGGCACAGCCTCCTTCTCACTGAACTCTGAAGAAGGGAGGCCATCACCCCCTGCGCTCAGAGTTCCTGCTCAGGCCACTCCCCCTGGAACATCACCTTCCCTCTGGCCGAGCCTACTCCTCCTCCAAATCAAACAGTGCAGGTGCAGAGTGTGGGTGCTGACAATGTCTCATATGGTTTATAACACTCCACACCATTCTAATACACTGCCTATGCAATCTACTACTCCACTGTTACCTAGCTCCATTCAACAAAATGAGTTTTTGAGTGAAACAAATCACAGCAAAGAGCTCCCTGCCAAATGCCCTAGATGGCAATGAGATCATCTCTTCAGCCCTACTCAGCCGAGACCGCGCCTGAACGCGCACAGCCTCCTCTTCTTCCAGGAAGTTGCCCGAGTACTCCAGTCCTTGAGGACCGTCACCGCTTCTGCACTCTCAGAATGCCCTGTTCTCCCTGCCAGATGATGAACAATGTGAGGACAGGCACAGTACCTTACGCTTCCCGTGTTCCACAAGAACTAGCACAATACCTTGAACACTGTAAGAACTCAATCCATTATCAGAGCGATCACTATGAACATCAGTGAGTGATTCTGGAAAATAGGGTTCCCTGTCCAAACTAACAAAATAGTAAAGATTAACCCGTAAGTACAGACTATACAAAAATTTAAAACAAACTTTTAGTTATGACCTGTATTTTTTACTTCTATTTATTACCTATAAAATAGGTCAGTAATATGACTTATTACATGATCTGATTAACCTTAAGCGTTCCTCTGTCTGAATGCTTTTCATTTCTGAAAGCCCATACAAAATGTTTGCTAACTAAATAATATGCCATTAGGAATTCCTCCATAGTATTTTCCCTAGGTTTTCATTTCCAGTGAACAGCAGTCTGATCCTTCCAATGAAAAGAAAGACACTGACTTCAAATACAAAAATCACATCCTTAAAAATATCAGTGGAGGGGCCAGCACTATGGCATGGTGGGCTAAGCCCCTGCCTGTAGCGCCGGCATCCTATATGGGCACCAGTTCTAGTTCCAGCTGCTCCTCTTCTAAATCAGCTCTCTGCTTATGGCCTGGAAAAGCAGTAGAAGATGGACCAAGTTCCTGGGCCCCTGCACCCACATTAGAAACCTGGAAGAAGCTCCTGGCTCCTAGCTTTGGATTGTCTCAGCTCCGGTGGTTGCAGCCATCTGGGGAGTGAACCAATAGATGGAAGATCTCTCTCTGTCTCACCCTCTCCTTGTTTGTAGCTCTGCCTCTCAAATAAATAAATAAAACCTTTAAATAAAATATCAGTGGGCTCATAAGGTGGCAAGGAATTAACCGACAGGTAAGCAGAGGCCTAGGAGGGGTTAGCGCGCAAAGGCGGGATCCAGGCGGAGGCTTCTTTTCGCATGTAAATTTTTATTAAGACATAGCCAAGTTCATTTGTTTATGTACTGTCTGTGGCTGCTTTCCTGCTACAATGGCAGAGCTGAGCAATTCAGACAGACTGTATGTCTTGTAAAGCTTATTATCTGACCCTGGGCAGAAAGTTTGTTGACCTCTGCACTAACACCATCAGTTATCCTGAAGAATGGCCCACACAAACCAGGTGGGAGTGTACTGAGAGACCCCGCCCCACACAGAGCTGAGAGCCTAACAGCCTACACCTTTAGGGTTGGGGGAACCGAAGATAAACCTACAATTCTTCCCTTGCCCTCAAGGGTCTGTGAGAAGGGCAAATAGGGGAAATGTAGGAAAGGAGGGGCAAAAAATAACATTCTTGGTAACTACTGACCACAGCGTCAGCCCTGAACATATCAGCTAGACACACAAGTTCACTCCCCTCCTTGCTGCTGGGAACACAGGATCAATGCCCAGAAGGGCTTAGCATAAGGCAATCCACATCTGGCCAAACGAAGACCTCCTTCATCTTCAGCCTCAAAACATCCCAACAAGTAACTGTCAAAGATCATGTCAACTACGATAAAAAATAAATAAATAAACGATCAGGGCTGGCACTGTGGTGTAGTGAGTGGGTAAAGCCACTGCCTATGACACTGGCATCCCATACGGGCAGCAGTTCATGTCCTGGCTGCTCCACTTCTCTGCTAATAATCCTGGGAAAGCAGCAGAAGATGGCCCAAGTGCTTGGGCCCTGCACCTGCATGGGAGACCAGGAGGGAGCGCCTGGCTGCTGGCTTCAGATCGGCGCAGCTCAACAGCTGCAACGCACCAGCTGTAGCAGCCATTTGGCGGGTGAACCAATGGAAGGAAGACCTTTCTCTCTGTCTCTCTCTCTCACTAACTCTGCCTGTCCAAAAAAAAAAGGCATAATAAATGAGAATCAAAATAAAAAACAAGGGCCTGCACTGTGGTACGGAGGGCTAAGAGGCTGCCTGTGACACTAGAATCCCAAACTGGAGGGCCAGCGTGTCCTGGCTGCTGTTTCAGATCCAGCTCCTTGCTAACGTGCCTGGGAAAGCAGCAGAGGATGGCCCAAGCCTGTGGGTCCCTACCACACACATGAAAGACCCCTACAAGTATGACCTGGATGCAGCTGTGGGCTCCTGGCTTCAGCCTGAACCAGCCCCGGCCATAGTGGCCATTTGGGGTATGAATCAGCTGATGGAAAATCTCTCCCTCTCTCTTTCCCTATTATTTACATAAATAAATCTTTAAGAAAGAAAAAAGAAAAAATAAACATTAGTAGAACATCTACAAAAATACTGTACACTGGAGTTACATAATTTAATTTTAAAATAGAAATAAAATACAAACTTGAATACATATTCTAAGACTAGAAAACTATATGATCCTGTGAACTTGAGGAAGCCACACACAATGCACAGATTTGAAAATATAGTAACCCAAGGGAAAAACTCAAAGGATAATTTCAATAGATTAGAAATAGACAGCTGAGGGGTGAAATGAGACACCAGGAGTTAGGTCAAAAATAATTATCCAGAATGCAATCTATGGCAAGGGTCAGGGGGAGGGTGATTAAGGGCATTTGGTGCCATGATTGAGACACTGCTTGACCTGTATCAGACTTCCTGGGGCAGAGTCATGCCCCACTGCTGCCTGCTGTGTGTGCCCTGGAAGGCAGCAGGCAATGATTCAAGTACTTGGTGGTAAGACCTGGGTTCTCCTGGCTTCAGCCTGGCCGAGCCACGCTGTTGTGAGCATTGTGAGTGAACCAGCAGATGGCAGATATCTGCATCTGTTCCTCTCTTTGTTTCCCAAATAAAATGAATATAGACTTTTTTAATAAATTAAAAAATTTACAGGGAGACACAAAAGACTTGATGCGAAGGTTTAACAAAATGCACTGAAGTTCCAGAAGAGAAAGAAAAGGGGCCAGCGTTCATATTTAAACACGTGTCTGAAGAGTTTGTTTTTAAATATACATGTGTTAAATACAAAGTCCAAAAAGAACTAGAGCTTCATCCAAAGATTTCAAAACCAAAACAAACATAAAAATCCTGGCTTGATATCTTCTTCCAGGAAGATAAGAGTGTAAGTACACTCGTGGTTTAACAATTTTTTTTAAGATTTATTTATTTTTTAAATATTCATTTATTTATTTGAAAGAGTTACACAGAGAGAAGAGAAGCACAGAGAGAAAGAGAGAGAGAGAGGTCCTCCATCCACTGGTTCACTCCCCAATTGGCTGCAAAGGCTGGAGCTGCACCAATCTGAAGCCAGGAGCCAGGAGCTCCAGGTCTCTCATGTGGGTGCAGGGGTCCAGGGACTTGGGCCATCTTCTACTACTTTCCCAGGCCACAGCAGAGAGCCGGATCAGAAGTGGAATAGCTGGTGCCCGTATGGGATGCCAGCACTGCAGGCGGCGGCTTTACACACTATGCCACAGCACTGGTCCCAAGATTTATTTTATTTATTTGAAAGGCAGAGTTAGAGAGAGAGAGGGAAACAGGGAGAGGTTTTCCATCCCTTGGTTCATTCCAAATGGTCGTTGCAGCCATTTGCAGAGTGAACCAGAGGACCCAAGATCTCTCTGTATCGGCCTTTCAAATAAATAAATAAATCTTTAAAAAAGACTAACAACTCAATTTTAAAAAACAAACAGTATAGGGCTGGCGCTGTAGCGCAGCGGGTTAAAGCCCTGGCCTAAAGTGCCGGCATCCCATATGGGCGCTGGTTCTAGTCCTGGCTGCTCCGCTTCCGATCCAGCTCTCTGCTATGGCCTGGGAAAGCAGCAGAAGATGGCCCAAGTGCTTGGGCCCCTGCACCCTCATGGGAGATCCGGAAGAAGCTCCTGGCTCCTGGCCAATTGAGGCCAACTGGGGAGTGAACCAAAGGATGGAAGACTTCTCTCTCTTTCTCTCTCTCTCTCTCTCTCTCTCTCTGCCTCTCCTCTCTCTGTGTAACTCTGATTTCAAATAAATAAATACATCTTAAAAAAAAAACAGTCTAAGAGCAAAGTACAGGTAAAAACCTTACTTATGTACACAAATACAAAAATACTAAAAGAAAAAAATCCAATGTAGCATAAGATAAAAAGGATACTGTATTATGATCCCAGAACAGTATCCAAGATCCTTAGGTTACTTTATCAATAGAAAATAAGTTCCTGTAATTCATCTTATTAAAGATTAAACAATTTCTTCATAGGATGAAAAAAAATCTGACAAAATGACAGAAATTCCTTATTCTATCTAAAACAAAACCCCAAACCAACCAACCAAGAAAAAAACAAAGGAAGTGGAAGACACTAAAACAGAAAGCTTTCCCTCCGCGGTCAGGACACAGAGAGGATGTCCACCACCACACTGGCCATCCAACAACACCCCAGTAACTGTCCTCAAAAACGAGGGAGGGAAATAAAGCCTGTTTCCAGCTGTGAGGGAGAAACGGGGACTGAATTCGCCCTCTCACCTCGAACAATAAGGAATCTGCACAAGACCGTTTCAGACACTGGAAAACAGGCAGTGCGGAACTGTGACTACTGGGAAGAGAAACAAATGAGGGGAGCCCTCTGATTCCCCGGCTTCTAACGCAGAGCCTGGCGTTCCTTACTGAGCTGAGAACAGAGCGACTGGAATCCGAGGGACAGAACCATGGAGAGAAAGGAGACGCTGATGTGCACGTGCAGTGCCATGGCCATGGCTGAACTACAGCCGTGGGAACTGCACTCAAATCAGTGAAATTATTTCCTGCAAATTACACACCTATGAAGTTTATTTAAAAAGAAAGAACAGAACTCAAAAAGGGTTTGGAAGACAGTTAATTCACAGGAGTGGCTCCTCTGAGGAAAGAAATGGGACTGGGCCCGAGGAGATGGCAAAAGAGGATTCCAACTGACTGGCACTTCTGGGTATTTTCATAGAAATATACCTATGCACTAACATGGTTACTGATAGAATACAACCCAATAAATAGATTAATGGAAAAAAGCAAGTTATAATTTGCTTTAGGGATAAATTTACATGGAAATTTACATCTATTGTGGGTCTTATTTTATAATACAATGAAATTTATTCAGTAGGTCAAGTATGGTGGTTAAGATGCTAGCTAATCAGAGTGGCTGGTTCCTAACTCCAGTTCCCAGCTAATGCAGACCCTGGGAGGCAGTAGTGGTCAGTCCAACATGGGACACCTGCGCTGACTCGCCAGCTCCCTGCTCAGCCCAGTTCCAGCTGTTGCAGAAACTTGGGGAATAAACGTGAGCGTGAACACTCTCAATCTCTCTCTCTCTCTTCTCAAACAAGTAAACAAAAATTTAAAAACCCCCTTTCTTTTATATTTATGTTAATTAATTCTAAGTTGATATCACCTTATAGGTGTCACTAACGTTTAAAGCAAGATGTCATAGGCCTCTACCCTTCCCACTAAGCTTCTCCTTCTAGAAGGCCCACAGAAATCATTTCTGACAAGGCTATCCACTACGGTTATGCCATGTGAAGAGGCAGGTTACTTATAATAATGAATATACACAGGAATTTCAGAAGATTCATGGAAAATGGAATTGGAAGATGCCTGTTTTAGAGCAAACATACTTTGAAATTTATGCAGTTTTTTCACAATATGTACTTTCCATGAACATTTTGAAGACTCCACATATTATAAATAAAATTACTGTTCTACTCCAACTTATTCCCCCCTTTCATAGTTTAAATCTGACAGAGAGTCTACAGTCAATACACAGCAGAAATGCTGATAAGAAACAATGACATAGGTAAAATATAAGTTGCAATTTCATCATCAAACCTTTCCTGCAGGGGTGGGTGCCTAGTCTAGCGTTGACTCTGGTCAGATTGCTTGCCTGCCATACCCCACGAGTGCCTCGGTTCAATTCCCAGCTACAGCTCCTGACTTCCACTTCCTGCTGCTGCGGCCCCTGACAGGACGGAGGTGATGGCTCAAGTCCTTGCGTCCCTGCCACCTGCATGAGAGACCTGGGTTCAGTTTCTGACCCCTGACCCCTGTGGCAGGCCAAACCCTAACCACTGCAGGCATCAGGGGAGTGAATTAGCACATGAGAGCTCTATTTGTCTCTCTTTTTTTTTTTTAATTAGCCTGCTTAGGTTTATTGAGTTTGGTTTTTTTTTTGTTTTTTTTGGACAGGCAGAGTGGACAGTGAGAGAGAGAGACAGAGAGAAAGGTCTTCCTTTGCCGTTGGTTCACCCTCCAATGGCCGCCGCGGCCGGCGCGCTGCGGCTGGCGCACCGCGCTGATCAGATGGCTAGAGCCAGGAGCCAGGTGCTTTTTCTGGTCTCCCATGGGGTGCAGGGCCCAAGCACTTGGGCCATCCTCCACTGCATTCCTGGGCCACAGCAGAGAGCTGGCCTGGAAGAGGGGCAACCGGGACAGAATCCGGCGCCCCGACCGGGACTAGAACCCGGTGTGCCAGCGCTGCTAGGCGGAGGATTAGCCTAGTGAGCCGCGGCGCCGGCCTCTATTTGTCTCTTGATCCGCTTCTTGAATACATTTGAAAAAAGAAAGTTCTTTAACAAAAAAAGAAAGAAAGAAAAAAGAAAAATAAGCTCCAAAGCTTTTCTGCAATTTAATGATGTAACTAGCTTTAAAAAAAAAAAAGATTGTATTTATTTGAAAGGTAGAGTTACAGAGAGAGGAAGAGACAGAAAGAGAGGTCTTCTTCCATCCATTGGTTTAACCCTCAAATGGCTGCAATTGGAGCTGTGCCGATCTGAAGCCAGGAGCCAGGACCTTCTTCTGGGTCTCCCACGTGGGTGCAGGAGCCCAAGCACTTGGACCATCTTCTACTGCTTTCCCAGACCATAGTAGAGAGCTGCATCAGAAGAGGAGCAGCCAGGACTTGAACCAGTGTCCATCAGGGACGCTGCTGTCACAGGTTAGCCTACTATGCCACAGTGCCAGCCCCATAACTAGCTTTTAATGTTAGAATTTTACAAAAAAAAAAAAAAAAGCAGGCCGGCACCGCAGCTCACTAGGCTAATCCTCCACCTGCGGCTCTGGAACCCCGGGTTCTAGTCCCGGTCGGGGCACTGGATTCTGTCCCGGTTGCTCCTCTTCCAGTCCAGCTCTCTGCTGTGGCCCGGGAGGACAGTGGAGGATGGCCCAGGTCCTTGGGCCCTGCACCCGCATGGGAGACCAGGAGAAGCACCTGGCACCTGGCTTCGGATCAGCGTGGTGCGCCGGCTGCAGCAGCCATTGCGGGGAGAACCAACGGCAAAGGAAGACCTTTTTCTCTGTCTCTCTCTCACTGTCCACTCTGCCTGCAAAAAAAAAAAAAAAAAAAAAAAAAAAAAAAAAAAAAAATATGCATGGTGATATTTTACACACACACACACACACACACACATCTTGTATTTGTTTCTCTCAGTAACTCTTGCCTGAAAATTAGTACCAATAATTTACTGTATACTTAATCTGCATACCAGGAAATAACTGAAATCTATGCTGAAATAATGTACTTCAAATTATTATAAAGAAATCAGACAAGTGGATAGAAAATTTTAACAAAAACTAAAATACTGCTTAAATATTCTGGGAGTAAAGATTTACTTATTTATTTGAGGGCCAGAGTTAGAGAGAGAGGAAGAGACAGAGAATTCCTCCATCTACTGGTTTACTCCCTAAATAGCCACAAAAGCCAGTGCTGAACTAGGCCAAAGTAGGAGCCTGGAACTCCATCCTGGTCTCCCATGTGGGTGCAGGTGCCCAAGTACCTTACACGGCTTTCCCAGGTACATTATCAAGGAGCTGCATCAGAAGTGCAGTAGCCAGGACTTAAACTGGCTCTAATGTGGGATGTCCAGGTGGCAGCTTAACCTGTTACACCATAACACAGGCCCCAACACCCTTTAATTACTAAAAACTTAACGTCTGTCAACAAAAGTATGGATTATCTTATTAGAAAATCAAGTCATAGCTCATAAGACAAGTAGGCAAATGTTTTGAAAAAACACTTACCTCTCTTCTTTATTTATTTGGTCACCGAATCCCACCGTATTCACAATGGTCAATTTCAATCGAACATTACTTTCCTGGAGTTCATACGTCTGAGCCTTAAGTTTAACATGTGGGTAAAAATGGGAGGATTCACAGTCTTCAAAATTAGTATTAAACAACGTGTCAATCAGTGTTGATTTTCCAATTCCAGTCTCCCCTAAAAGAAACAGAAGTACCGTCTTCACTGGTGCCCGGGATGGCTGAGGAGAAAGACGAGGTCAGCTCCCAGGAGGGTTTCAAGGACCCAGATGCTTTAAAGGCACCTTGTCCATGAAAGAAGGCATGCTGAGGCTGGTCCCGGGTCATTAGCAGAGCGCAGAAGTGAGTGTGCATGTTAAGTTGCGAGGACTCTGCAGGGAGCACTGACGAAGTTAAAGGTTTAAAGCTAAGGAAAAGGAAACAGAAGTTAGATAACAGAAACCCTGGGATCACGATCTCAAAGTGACAACACAGCACCGCTCAGCGGATGACCGGAACAGAGTGAGCAGAAAGAAATACGAAGGTGCATTTGGAGGAGGAACGGCCCTTACCCACGCACAGAATATTAAAACAGAAGCCTTGCTGAATGGATCTATTGACCAGCTGATCAGGCAAACTCTCAAAACCAACATGGCCAGACATAGTCAAGGAACGAACATTTTCTCTTTTCTAAAGGAAAACAAAAACAACAATAAAAAAACTTCGACTGAAACAGACTAAAAACACACGTAAAAGTATAAGTAAAATTCATCAAAGGAACTGAAACTCTGCAATCATTATACCCCATTAGGTGTTTGTGTGAAATGTGTCCTGACTCTCTGGAGTTTTCTTTCCCAGCACGATTTTAATAGCAAACATGGGCTTTCCAAGAACAGGAAAATACCTAAGTGAACTATGGCATAGTCACTCACAGGATAAAAGGCTTAAAGTCATTAAATGCTTAAGATAAATGTTTAGGAATTTGGAGAATTCTTATATTAAAATAGCAAGTGCAAAAAGCACCACACATAATTACAGACAGTCCTAGCCCCAGTAACAGCAGAGGAACTTACCTTAAACTCACCTCCCCGCTGGTAACAATGAAAAGCAACTTTGAACTCTCTGGAGGAAAAGGAAAGCAGACAGACAGGGGAAGGAGTGAAACTCCTCAGGGAAAGGATCCTGTCAGGGGAGACGCCCATCCATCCAGCTGCCCCCTGGGAGGCCTCCCAGGTTACAGTGGCACAGAGGGGACAGACACAGGAAGGAAGGGGTAGTGTTTAAGGGGTTAAGAATCAACTGGAGTTTGGATAGGCAGACTGGCTGAAAACTAGGGGAGAAAACCCCAGAAAGGAGAAGGAATATAAAGTCTGCCAGCACACCGCCCTCAAATCCATAGTTGACCGCTGAACTGCACAGGTACAGAGGGAAACAAAGACGGGGTGGGGAGACAGGGAACTGGCAGGAGCTAATCAGAATACTTAAGAATGCCATCTTAGGGAGACAGGCAGAGCTTGGATTTTAAGTCTGCAATTTGCAAAAGCTTGGTAAACTCCTCAGGTTTTAGCCCTGGATGGGCCCACGTTAGAAGGGCGGGCCACAGTCCAGGAATGAGAAATGCTACCTGATATTGACGGCACAACTGCAACAGACTCACCCTAACAAAGTCCACAACCAAGACTCGGTATGGTCAGTGTGATCAGCCAGTAACCTCACTGCTTCTTACAGAGCTCAACACTCAAGAAGGAAGCAATCCAGCGCCTCTACCAAATCCACAGTGCAACACAAACTGCTACAGCAGGAAGCAAGCCACAGCCAACAGAAATCCTCACAATGAGCCAGATGTGGCACAGTAGGCAAGAATTTTAAATAACTGATAAGTACATAGAAGAATCCATAGGAAAAAGGTAGATACAATGGGTGACGTGATAAGGAATTATAGTAGGTACGAAGAACAGTTCTCAGACAATAAAGAGCAACAAATGGAATTCCTAGGATGGAAAAATGCAACAGCCAAGAAAAAAACAACTAACTGAATAGTTATTAACAGCTTACCAAACAGAGGAAGAAACGTTGTTAGTTATTATCTGGGGCTGGCACTGTAACACCAGCATCCCTCACTGACGCACAGGGTCGGGTGCCCACTGCTCTGCTTCCAATCCAGCTCCCTGCTAATGTACCTGAGAAGGCAGCAAAAGACGGCCCAAGTACTTGGGCCCCTGCACTCAGGTGGGAGACTTGGATGGAGTTCCAGGCTCCTGGCTTTGGCCTGGTCCAGCCCGGGCTGTTGTGGCTATTTGGGGAGTGAACCAACAGATGGAAGATCTCTTTCTCTTTCTGTCTCTCTCTCTCTCTCTCCGTCACTCTGCCTTTCAAATAAAGAAAGAGTATATTTTTTAAAAAGTCACTATACAGGCCGGCGCCGCGGCTCACTAGGCTAATCCTCCGCCTAGCGGCGCCGGCACACCGGGTTCTAGTCCCGGTTGGGGCGCCGGATTCTGTCCCGGTTGCCCCTCTTCCAGGCCAGCTCTCTGCTGTGGCCAGGGAGTGCAGTGGAGGATGGCCCAGGTGCTTGGGCCCTGCACCCCATGGGAGACCAGGAAAAGCACCTGGCTCCTGGCTCCTGCCATCGGATCAGCGCGGTGCGCCGGCCGCGGCGGCCATTGGAGGGTGAACCAACGGCAAAGGAAGACCTTTCTCTCTCTCTCTCTCTCTCACTGTCCACTCTGCCTGTCAAAAAAAAAAAAAAAAATTAAAAAAAAATAAAAAAATAAAAATAAAAGTCACTATACAGCTAAAAATTTGTCAGAAAAAAAGATAGAACTACGAGAGAACCTCAAAAACTTGTGTGCTAACATCAAAAGGCCTAAGCCACCTTTAACTAGAATACCTGATAGAAAAGTGAGAGATGGAGGTAGTGGTGGGGTAGTCTATGCAATAACTTAAAGAACAGTGACTGAAAAATTTCCAAATTTTCTAAACATGAATTTGGACAAACAGGAAATACTCAAAGGAACCTATATCTGGGCATATTATAGCAAAGCACTTAAAAACAAAGAAAAACTTCATGCATATAAAATAAGGCAGATTTCTCATAAGAAAAAATGTGAACCAGAAAACAGAAAGACATAAAGTTCCCCTCATACCACCACCACCAAAATACCACCTGGGATTCTACATCAACTGAAAACATCTTTCAAAGATGAAGGTAGAATGAAGAAGTCTTTGAAGAAACAAAATCTGAGAAAATTCACTGTCAGCTGTTACACCACAGGAAATGTTAAAAGAAATGAAATGACAACAGATGAAAACTCACATCAACCAACAGGAATGGCGATCACCAGGGAGGCTAATGTGTGGACAAAGACAGTTTTTCGCTTGTTTTAATTTTTTGAATACTGAATTGTTTAAAGCAGTAAAAAAAACAAGAAATAATGAATTATAAGACACATGCAGAAGTAAAAAAGATGAAAGGAGTAACACAAGTTTACTGCTTTAAGGTTGTTATATTATCCACAAAATACTACAATATTATTTGAAGGTAAGTGTGATACATTAAAGCCTAAACCAATTACTATTTAAGATAACAACAACAACAAGGACCAAAGAGGTATAGTTAATAAGCCAATACTGGAGATAAAATGGAATCATGAAATACAGGATGTATTAATCCAAAAGAAGGCAAGCATGAAAAAAATGAAAGGCCAAATGAGACATACAGAACATTAGTTAGCAGGGAAATCTGAATTAAACTAGTAACACAGCACTGAATAACCATAAAAAGGCTGACAATGTCAAGTGTGAGTGATAATGATGAAGAACAACTACAATGCTTACACATTTGTGTGAATGCAAAATGGTACAGCCACTCTGGAAGACTTTGGCAATTTTCTTTTTCTTTTTTTTTTTTTTTTACAGGCAGAGTGGACAGTGAGAGAGAGAGACAGAGAGAAAGGTCTTCCTTTGCCGTTGGTTCACCTTCCAATGGCCGCTGCGGCCGGCGCACCACGCTGATCCGAAGCCAGGAGCCAGGTGCTTCTCCTGGTCTCCCATGCAGGTGCAGGGTCCAAGCACTTGGGCCATCCTCCACTGCACTCCCGGGCCACAGCAAAGAGCTGGACTGGAAGAGGGGCAGCCGGGACAGAATCCAGCGCCCCAACCGGGACTAGAACCCGGTGTGCCAGCGCCGCTAGGTGGAGGATTAGCCTATTGAGCTGTGGCGCCAGCCGGCAATTTTCTTATAAAGTTTAACACACATCACTAAAACAACAAAAAAAATCCCAACGTGGAGGTACCCAGGATAAATAAAAGTATGTCCATGAAGGACATACACACAAATATTCACAATAGTTTTATTCCCAGTATTCAAAAACAAGAAACAACCCAAGTGTCCAATAAATAGTGAAAGGATAAACAAACTGTACTACAGCCATACAATGGAATACACAACATGAGTCAATCTCAAAAATTAAACATCCAAACAATGATTTATTTTCAGCAAAAACAAATATTTATACTTGCATATATTCTTATATATATATATATATATGATTGTGGACAAAATTGTCTCAAGGAGAGTGACAGACTCTTAAAGAGTGTTTACTTGGGGGCCGACACTGTGGTGCAGTGGGTTAAAGCCATGGCCTGAAGTGCTGGCACCCCATATGAGTGCTGGTTCTAGTCCCGGCTACTCCTCTTCCGATCTAAAATAAATCTTTAAAAAAAGAGTGTTTACTGGAAAGTGAACTTGGAAGTTGGATGAGAAAGACTCACTTTTTACTCTATATGGTGACTAGCATTCTGAGATGGCCTCCAAGACTGATGCTTCTGGGTTCACACAAATCTTCCAGTTATTCAGCCAGACACGGATGTAGGCACTCCTGAGAGGAGACTTTGCAGATGTGACTGACTGAGGTCCAAGTTCTGTCATCCTAGAGGGGATTCACCTAACAAGGGTGACCCCTTGCAGGGAACTGGGTAATTCCTGGCCAAAGAGATCTGAGGCAGGAGGGGGACTTGCTGTGCCCACAGTTCTCCCTTGCTGGCTCTTTGGAGGGAGGCAGTCACATGACAAGGACCCGACCGGAGACGGGTCTCCAGGAGCTGACAGCAGCTCCCAGCTAGCCAGGAACTCAATCCTGCCAACAACCTGGGAGAGTCTGGAAGGGAGACCTCTGGATGACACCCTGAGTGGGAGACAGGAGCGGAGACCCCAGGTGAGCTGCTGAACTGTGAGTCAAGAAACAGGTGCTGTTTGAAGCAGCTGAATCTGTGATAACCTGTTAGCAACAGCAAGCCAGCATGGTATATTCTTGTTGTGCTCTGAGTCCCTGTTAGTCCTGTAAGCGTGTTATCATTATGGTTTTTTTTTTAAAGAGAGAGTGAGCAAGCACTATGCACCCCTGTCCTGAAAGTGTTCAAGATTCAAAGGACACTTGTGGGGAGGCAACAGGCATAGTGGTTAAGATGCCCACATCCCATTTTGGAGTGCCTGGGTTCAAGTCTGGCTCCCGTTCCAATTCCAGCTGCTTGTTGATGTGCACTCCGAGAGGCAGGCAGGTCAGTACACAAATATTTGGGTCCCTGGCACTCACATGGGATATTGGCTTCAGCCTGGCTACTGCAGGCATTTATTTGAGGAGTAAACCAGCAGTTGGAAGATCTCTTTCTCCCTCTCTCTCTTTCTGCCTTTTAAATAAATTAAATATTAAATGAAAGGCACTTGCTAGAGTTTTTCCTCTGTTAAGAGTAAGTTTATTACATAAAGGTTAACTATATGGCCTCCAGGATCCCTTGTGGTTCTGAAACCATGTAACTGCAGTGTCAAAGGAACAAAAGAAGCTTAAACAATGAGCCTGTGGTCCACAAGATGTGATGCAGAAGAGGGGCCAGAGAGAAGGAGACTGGATGGCAGCCACGACAGACTGGTGCCACGGATTACCAGTGACACTGACAGCAGACTCGACAAAGCCATGAGGTGGAAAGCAGGTTAAGGGAATTCAGGAAGTCTGCGAAGTGATAAAATAAGGATGGAACAGATTGTTATTACCAGTAAGAAAAAAAATAAAAAGGTAACCTGGTGGTCAAACTAAGATTGGGTAAACCGTGGGACCAGGGGATGTATGGGAAGAAGAGGCAGAAACAGGAAAGTATTATAGCTACTGGAGCATGAGACTAAAGGAAGATATTTAATTTACTGAATTATTCATATTTGTATTTACATGTCTTTTTATTAAAATTAACACTCCCCTCTTTTACCAAGGTTAATTTATAATTTACTACCTCTTTTTAAACATAAATTTTAACAGGAATTACCAAAAACCACCCCTACTATCCAGGTTGCTCAGAAAGGCACGCTTCAAGGGCCTCGGACACATCAGGTCTAATCTGCAGGAAAGTGCCAGGCAGGCTTGCAAACACCATGCTCTGCAGAGCGCCCAATAAAAAGCAGTGCTGGCCTTTCTACTGAATGCCACTGAAGTACTTGGAGTTTTTACTTGTTTACTGTCACAAACAAAGTAAGTAAGTAAATAACAAAAGAGAAATAGAACATTTGTTTAATGTCAAATTAGGATAGGACCATCATGGCCATGCAACTATCATTCAATCCATTATTGATTTTTCACTTCAATCACCAGAAAATTAATTCGTATTCAAGCATTTAGAGTGTGGCATGAATCTACTTAAGGACATACTCACTCTCTGCTCCTCATCAGATCCTTGCGAGGGCACACAAGCTGTTTTCATTGCCATGTGAGACTGAAAGTGCTGGAAGAGACGAGAAGAGCCTTAGAAGAAAACAGAATCCTTATCCTAAAACCTGTCTCTAAGTAATATATTTGTATTACAAAGGGGTTCACTGGAACCCTTGTTGCTATAATCAAGTTTTGACTTGTAGTCTGTATCACTAGTTGATGCGCAGTATTGTGGCTTTCTTGCTGCATAAGTAAACCATAATATATAATATTCAACATTACAGTAATGCACTCACACCCACAGAAGACTGTAAAGTGGAAAACTTCCACTTACAAGCAGGAGGGCAAAAAGATTACTTACATTTAAAAAGACTTTATAGGATTAAAAAGACAAAATAAGTGATTTCACTTAAGAACTACTCTAGGAGCTAACAAGGCCCTCAAAATGAGTATGTAGCATGCCAGGGGAACAGAAGTTTAAAGAATGCTACCATTGCAGCATAGTTGGGAAAGCATTTGAAACTGAACAAGTCCCTTAGTCATCCAACCAAAATAAAAATAATTAGCACTTACAGAACTCCTATTATGTGCCCTTCTCTGTGATAGCTCATTATTAAGCACAGTTGCTCACTTAGTTCTTGCAGTACATCTGAGCTATACAGATTATTAGTCCCTCAGTCTACATGACAAAATATGGGAGGAGGGGCAGACCTCATTTCAGGTCTGAAGCTGCCTTATCCTCCTGTGGCCTGAGCCTCTGGACAGCTGGCGGTGCGCTGACCTCCCTGATGACCCCACCTCCTGGGACCCCTGCCTCCTGTGTCCCTGATCCTGCTGGGATCTTGTGACTTCAAGTTTGCAATGTCTTCGTGGATATGGTGTGGATTCACCTAGGAGAATGGGCCCTGCGAGGTGCATGCCAGGGAACGTGTGCATAGAGAAGTGATGACATAGAGTGAAACAGCATCTGCAATCTGGAGAGAGAGAGGGAGAGACAGAGACAAAGAGAGAGACAGAGACAGAGGGAGAGAGACAGAGTTGGGGGGAGATGGAGGGGGAGAGAGAGAGACAGGGAGAGAGAAACAGAGGGTGAGAGAGAGAGAGAGAGGGAAAGAGAGAGAGGGAAAGAGAGGGGGAGAGAGAGAGTGAGAGAGGGGGGGAGAGAGAGGCAGAGGGAGAAGAGAGAGGGAGATGGGGTGGGGGGATAGAGAGGGAGGAAGAGGAAGAGGAAGAGAGAGAGAGAGAGAGAGAGAGATCGATCTTTACTTGCTGGTTTACTCTCCATATGCCATGGCAGCTGGGGCTGAGGTTGGGCCAGAGAGAGGCCAGGAGCCTGGAACTCCATCAGGATCTCCCACATTAGTATGGCAAAAACCCATATACTTGGGCCATTGTTTGCTGTCTTTCCTGGTGCATTAGCAAGTAGCTAGATAAGAAGCAGGGCAGTCAGTACTCAACCAGCACTCCAATATGGGATGTGGGAGTCCCAAGTGATGAATTAACCTATTGTGTCACAACACACACCCTGTCACAACACCTACCCCCCATCTTAACCATTTCTGATTATATACACAGTGTCGCTGTGTGACCAATATTCAGAACCCTTCGCCTCTTGTAAGTCTGAAATCCTTAGGCTGTACATCCACCCCATTCTTCCTGCGGTTTAGTCTTCTACTGTTCACACTATGGCGTAGCGTACGTGGCTACTCTCCAGACAGTCACTGTCTGTAATCACAATGAGCTGTGCTGCTCAAACAGCTCTGCCCACACAGATGATGGAAGGGAGGCCCTTGCAGCCGGGATGCTGCCTCCTCACCCTCACAATGCACACAAGTGCGCGCAGACACACTGACACCAGCATACATCATGATGAAATCTACAGAATACCAACAACCCTTCTCTGGCACATCTGCTCCTGAGGACTGACTTTCTGACATAACCTTATACGTAACAGAGTTTTCAAATCCTGAGCAAATAAATGAACATGTCCACCCAACACTAAGTGTCCGCCCAACATTAAATGGCTCTTGGCAGCTGGAAGGTGCTCACAGAGAGATAAAAGGACACCACAGAAGTCTGGCGCTGAACATGAAAGCGCTGGTCGTGTTTCCATGATGAGAGGATTGGAAAGCACACAATAGTACAAAGCACACCACGACTGGCCTGAGGCTTCAGTTTGTGACTGAACATACTCCACTCCCCCCTCTGCCATTCTGAAAGGGCCCCTCCACCCCATCACCGTGTGGCTCGTAAGTAGGGATGGGGACAGGAAGAGATGCACACCGGCATCAGGGAGACGCGGAGGAACGGGGGGCCACTGAGAGCAGGAGCAGATCTCAGTGAGGCCAGGAAGCAGCACAGCACCAGAGGACACACGGAAGGCAGAAAAAAAATACCTGAGCACGAGCAGGAGGCAGACTTCCTACCCGGAGAAAGTAAACAGAGAGTCTAAGAATCTGGTGGGAGAAAAGGGTCCAGTGGTCTCAGGCTGGCTATGAGCACAGGGTAGGGGATACAGGAGTACAGACTGGGCACGCTGGATGTGTCATTTCAAGCCTGTTTGGTAAAGGCTAAGAAGCACTGCAGAACATATCTGATTAGGGCCCTGTTCAGAGCCTGCACTAGATAAACTGGGAATACGGCACTCTATGCGATTACTCCAAGTGCTATAAACAGTGTTTTTAATATTTTCCTCTGGTGCTACTTGATAGTCAAATTCCCAAAACAAGTCTTACACCAGAAACCCTTCTTAATAAATTAGTAGAACATGCTGAAGAAGGAATAACAAGATGGCAGAGCTGAGCAGACGGTCCTGCAGCGTTAATAAATCGGAAACTAAAAAGAAACAGCTGCAGGAGGAACTGCGGTCTGCTCCATCACTGCCCACCTATTCCCATATGCAAATCACGACGCTGGACCCTGGGACTGGAGGGGCATGAACGCACCTCGGACAAACAGGAACTGCCGTGGAATCACAATCTCGTTTTCAAACGCAGAATCACAGCCTAAGCTTGATCACTGTCAATTTGTTTTTCCTTACATTTTAAATGTACACATCATATACACAAAAATACACAGCTAAGTATACACATGTATACACACACACACACATTCTTCTAGAGGAAAAACCGAACACAGTAACTTGACTCCGAGTTCAGTCTAACACCTTCTTTAACTATAACAAAGTTATAGTATTTAAAGACTCATAAGAAGCAGTGCCACCACACACGGGGCAGCTGGAGAAAGACGGGTTCGCTGCCTCTTTAAAATCTCAGGAGGGGCTGCAGGCAGGCTGTGGGGCAGGGAGGGACATGACCCATGGACAGAACCCCAGCCCTTTCCTGTCAGCCAGCTCTGAGAGGATCCAGATAACAGCTTTCCTCACTCTGCTGGGAAACTCGCCTGACGAGCCTCCCTGCCTCTCCTTGGGCAGAACAACCAGCTTCCAGGAACAGAAGTGGTTTCGCCATAGTTTCACTTTAAGTTCACTCTATCTTTCTATTCGTTAATCCAAGAAATGAAAACAAAGCTTTTAAATTGTCTCCTGGCTTCTATGTGGTGTTTCTTGGGAGTTCTTCGGGACCAACAAATACAGAGAGAAAAAAATCAGAGAGTGGTCAAAATAATTGGTATCTGGCCTAGTTCATGGGTTTCAGGAGGGTAAGGATGTCTGGGTTAAAACATTACTTTGAAAGAGCCCATTTTATAAAATCTTAAGGTTAAAGAAACTTTAAAATAAAGTTAATAGTGCTAAACTAGAATTTTCTAAAAGCAGGTCATAAGTTACAAGCCAGCCAAAAGAAAACAATTCAGCTGAAATCACTAAGCCTGGGTAGAAGCTGGCCTCCTCCTCAGTGCCTGTCCTGCTTGTGTCTCCCTGGGCTGGGCCAGAGCAGAGATTTGGGTGGTCCCAGACACCAGAAATGTCACCTCCTTTTACCATCACTTCCATAAATACAAAAGTTAAAGGAAAAATACAAATCTAATATTTAGCCTAAAGAATTTGGGGCTGGCACTGTGGCATAGTGGGTTAAGCCACCACCTGCAGTGCTGGCGTCCCATATGGGCACTGGTTCAAGTCCTGGCTGCTCTACTTCCAGTCCAGCTCTCTGCTGTGGCCCGGGAAAGCAGTGGAGGATGGCCTAAGTGCTTGGGTCCCTGCACTCCCGTGGGAGACCCAGAGGAAGCTCCTGGCTCCTGGCTTCAGATGGATGCAGCTCTGGCCGTTGCGGCCATCTGGGAAGTGAACCAGCGGATGGAAGACACCCCCCCCCCCCAATGCTGACTTTCAAATAAATAAATAAATAACTTTTTAACAACAACAACAAAAAAAGGTCATCAAGATCTGGAAATTCTCTATATTGCTTCACATAAAACAAGGATCTCAAGCTTAACAAAATCTTGCAGTGTAACGTGGCTGCTTAAATTACAAATGCAGTTTTACTCTGAATTTACTCTGCTCTTTAATCAGAAAAAAAATTTTAAATTAGAAAATGTTAAAAGATAGTTTCCAATCTGGGTCTCAGTGGGTGACGGGGACCCAACCACTTGAGCCACCGAATGCTCCCTCCCACAGTGCACACAAGCAGGAAGCTGGAATAGGGAGCAGAGCCAGACTCTGAATCCAGGTACTCCAAGCAGCAACTTCACCACTACACCCACCACCCGGTGGCTGCCAGGTTGTTTTAATAACACTGTGCCCTCACTCAGATCTCCCTTCAAGCAACAACTTGTCCTCTGGCTTGAAATGATGCAGCTGGCAGACTGGCTCCAGCTGGAGAACCTGTAGGTTCCACGGCAAGAACCCACCAAGACCCTCGGATAGGGCAGCCTGGCCCACACTGTCAGATCTGTAGTGATTTGCATCAAGTTCCTGCACAGGCATCAAAGTAATGTTGGGGCTTTCCCTCCCTGTCCTGCTTCCTCCCTCTTTAATTTTCACCTCTCTCCCCACCCACTTCCAGAAAATCTCTTACACAGCTAGCCCCACCTCTTCAGTGTTGGCTTTCAGGATGCCAACTGACACACCTGAATTGCACCAATCATCCCGTGCATCTGATAACAGCGTCCAGA